CTGTATTTACAAATGTAGCTACAAATGGTTTAATAAAGTACTACCGTGACTGCTTAAGGGAAAAAAAAAAAAAAAAAGAAATGATAGATATGATAGAACTAATAGATTTAGTAAAAATAATAGATCTAATAGAAATGATAGATCTACTAGAAATGATAAAAATGATAGAAATGCTAGATTTTTGGCACAGTAATTTGAGCCAATTAGAATTAAGTTACATGTATTATAATTAGTGCTTTTTATCAAAATCATTCTGATCTCGTGATTTCGTAATCAGAATCACATAATCTTGTGCTCATTAGAATCGTCTCAGTGAGCTGAATCCAATGGTAGTTGTTTCATCCAAATTGGTTCAGTACATCAAAAGTTATGATCAAAAATGTGTAAAACTCTTAATATTAACAATATAATTAACATGTTGAATTAATCATAGTACTTTTTATAATCATATTCTAACATTACAAATTTAGGTGGGCCTTGACAACTATAGTTGGTTTAGATCATAGATAAAGTTGTCTAAACTTTAATTTTTGTATGTAGTTTTTATTTTATATTTTACAATTTTAGTATATCTTTAATATATAATATATTAATTTGATAACTAAAATTATTAATAAAGATATAAGCAAAGCCTCACCTTAATATCAAAAAAAAAACTTTACTTTTAATATTTATATTTTTATTTTTAAAATTTAAATATTTATTTTTTAATCTTTTTACTATATAATAATTATATAATTAATAACTAGTTACAAGAAAATTAATAAAATAAAAATATAAAAAAAATATTTTAATTATATTTTTATTTTATTTTATTTTATTTTTTTTCTCTTTGATGAGTCTTGCCAAGATCTTTTAGCATGTTTATTGCATTTTTCAAACTAATATTTTCAATATATTCTCAGAACTGGATCTTAATCTCTCTCAATCCATACTTTTAAACTTTTCAGAAATAACTGTTATACTAATCTTTGCCAGTATCAAAAGACTTTACCAGACTCTATTAAGAACTAGTTATTACTATGAGTTCATATAGTATCTTTCATTGTTAGACTTTTAGTCTCACATTATGTCTTATGACTTTAGTTATTTCAAATTAGACTCCAACTCATGTTTATTATCATGTGACTTGCCAACTGTAATTCACTTGTTATTTTCAAAAATAAGTTCATTCTTTAAACATCTCAGGTTCCTGGTTCTGCAGTATTGCAGTTCTCTATTTTAAAAATACATCTCTACAATTGCTATCACTAGGATTCGAACTAGCAATCTTGTGATTTGTAACCTCAGAGCATAACTACTATGTTATTGACTCTAGAGGTCATTATATTTTTATTATATATTAATTATATTATAAATAAATAAGAGAATAGTAATTCTAGTATAGTGGTTAGGTTGTTATTTTCTAAGTGGCAGATCTAAGATTTAAATCCTACTTCTAATAAAATTTATAAATTAATTTATATTATAAAAACTGTTTTCTGTTGATTAGTTGACCTTATATAACTGTAATTCAGATATATCAAGTCAGGTTCTACTTATTTTTGGAAGCTAGAGTTATTTATACAAAGTGTAATATTACATACATATAGAGGAATATTAATAACTAATATTGCATAAAACTTTAATACAAATTCATAATAAAACCACTGAGTACAAAAGATTAAGACCTAAAGAGATGAAGTTCTACTTAAAAATTTTCAAATAAAGTGATAATACAAATTTTTAACAGTGTTGTTAGACTAATGAAAACCCACAAAACACCTTTATAGAAATAGTCAAATAAATCAAATAACAAAGATATATAGAGAAGTATATGACCAACTAGATTACTAGAACTGCTAAAGAAACAAAATACTAAAATATATCATATTAGGTTATCTGAATTAAAAGTCTAAAAAGTCTATTAGTTCTGAATTGTAATTAGTAGAAAATGATAAAGAAGGTGTCAAAAAGATATGTACTAGGTTTAGGTGAATTTTATAAAGATAAAAATAATGTAATATAGTAGTTTAAGGTTAACCCTAACTGCAAGTATTTGATAACTATAGTGTGTTACATAAAACTAAATTAGCTGTGTATGAAACACAAAAAACTCTAGTAATAATGCTTCTGAGAATACATTATATGAAATAAAATATGAGGTTCTAAGAATACAAATAAGTATCTAGACCTTCTTAACTAACATATATATCAAAGATAATGTAATAACATAGTAAGAATTGCAGTACAGAGGGTTTAAATAGGCAATGCTCCTAGTTGGGTTGCAGGTATAACAACTAGTGTAGAACTATTAGTAAACTACTTAAATTAGACACCAAAAGTGTACATATAGATAGTTGTATTCTCTAATATAAAGGTGGCTCCTTTGAGGTCTCAACCATAAGTTCCTATATTCTAATTACTGAATAAAAAATCCCAATCCCAAAAAAGACTAGTTTAATATAAAAAAAAATTATATTATAAATATATTTAAAAAAATTCAAAGTTTCTACAAAATAATCATCACAAATTACTAAAAATACTAATATTCTGCAATTAGCAAAAGACAAAATGAATTAAATTTACTTAAATTCAAAAACAAACCATTCACATTTTCTTTAATAAATGAAAAAGTACATCATTATATCATCTATAAACAATCTTCTTTCTTACATTTTATCATTCTAACAAAGAATAGGTAAGAGTAAAGTAATTTTTACTTCTATCTTTTATAATTTTAGTTTTTTTCATCATGTAGCTTACATATATAAAAATTAACTAATTAATAAATAAGACAGAGGATAGACCTTGCTTTTTTTTGAAAAAAAACCAAACAAACAAAAGTTTGGTTTCATAGGCATAATTTTAAGTTATTTTGATTCAAATTTTTGAGATCATTGAATCACCCTATTTTAATATTAATTTATTTTTTATTACTATTTTTACTCAACATATTATACTCTTTGATCTATATTATTAAATTAAATAATACCATTTTATTTCAATAGCACTAGTGGCGTGCAACATCACATATATATTTTAATAGTTTTGCTAGTAAAATTTAGGGTCAGGAAACATTGTAAGATATAGGTCTAAATTTAGTTAAAGTGAGGTTTTTGGCCGCTGAACATTTTTGCTTAGTACCCTGACATGTATTAGCTAGTTCGTTTTTGAGATATAACAATTATGGTGTTGAGCACCACTGGTGTGATTTAGTAAAGTCGTTTTATTTATACATATTTGTAGAGTATTTAATGATGTAGCATCCTTTGGAGCAGCTTCGGAATGGGTCCAACCTAGGTTAAAAATATGCTGGAGTGAAACTAAACAACTCTAAACAATCTGAAGTGGCACCAGTAGCCCAACCTACAATACATATTTGATATAAACTAATAATATATTTATTTGTTTAACAATTTAACTTTTATAATATTAATTTATACAACAAATATGAATAATAAATATTGTTATTATAAAATAACTTGTGAAATAATATTATATATTCTTCAAATCAAAACATCTTTGGCAAATGATTTTGATATATGTTGAGTAAACTGCGTCAATTTTGAGATTACTTTGCATAGTGAATCTTAACATTATTACAAAGATAATTAAGACTTGTATTTTTAGTAAAGAAACGTTATGTTCTCAAAAAAGTGCTTTAAAGTGTGTAATTAAGTTATTTGCGCGATTGATTCAAGCAACCTAATGTTCAACCATAAATGACTGGTAAGGCTTAGGATCAGAGAAATATTTTTTAGACCAATAAATTTTAGTTGGACGTAAACGCGAAAATTTTTATACTATAATGTAATAAAAAACCAAGATTTGAACTTTGTAAAATAAAGAACACTTTATTATTTGATTAAACTAATCAGCAAATCAAATCCACCCATACGACTCGTAATGTCCTTATAGTTACGACTTACGCTAATACTACAAAAAAGTTGCCCTGTACAATATTTTGTTTATAGTATTTAAAGCTAAAAAAAAACCGACAGACCAAGTCATATACAATCATATTTAATACTCTACCCAATTAACGCAATTTTACACTATTTTTTTTTGTTCAGCAGAGAAAGTGACCATGGGTAATCAAAGTAAAAACGCGATGTTTAATCAATAGAAGAACTTGCCTATTGTGAAAATTTGATAAAATTACATACATAAAATTACATAAATTACATAAACTTACATAACAACTTAACATAAAGTATTAAAGGTTATGCAAAAAAAAAAAAAAGGAAAAAAATGTACATTTGTTACAATAAAAATTTAGGGGTATGAATACAAATAAGACCGATCTAATATAGATCAGGTTTTCATCAGACAGTTTTTTTCATGGCCCAAAAACGATGACTTTTGTCAAATGCTTTATTACTATCCAACTCCTTCATCGCAAGATCAACCAACATTTCATATCTACCCTCTTGGAATTGTATATCAGCAACAACCTCCGAAAGATTTTTAGCACCCCACGATATAATTTCCGAGTAAGCTTTACCTAAGCAATTCATGTATAATTATCATAGTTAATATCAAAGTATTTAAAAAGAAAGTTAAATATATATATATTTACCCACAACACCACCCCATGGTCCCAAGGGTTCGACCCTCTCATCTATTGAAATGTTAGTTATTGACTTATTTGCGGCAAGATAATTAGGTATGAGCGGGCTTATTATAATGTCAATTCCTTTTTCTGCTTTTAATCCATCAACAACTAGGATAAAATAAAATAAAAACCAATTTAATATATATATTTTACAACTCAAATGAATAATCAAAAATAACTATTAAGAAATTTACTTTTTGTTCTCCATTTTTTTACATTGTCACTTTCATTGTACCAAACAATATCTCTAGAAAAGGCAAATTTTTTAGTAAACAAGAGTGATAATTCAACAGGCCAAGTAGATGGAATTCGCGTGATAAAAGCAATCATGTTAATAAAATTCTTTTTGAATAAATTTATTTACCTTTCCATTAATTCGATCCATCCTCCTGGTTTTGTCACCCTAATCATTTCCTAATAGTTTCAAATAATTTATCAGAAATTACAGAAATTACAAATTTTATACGATAACTCTGAATGAGCATATATGTTCATTTACCTTAATAGCAAGTGGCCAATCTTTTGCCATTATTGCAAACATCATAAATCTCATCTAAAAAAAAAGATAAAATTGATTAGATAAAATATATAACAATAAAATTAATAATCAAGAAAATTTACACCTACATATACAAAATCGAATCTGAATGTCGAGATATAGCAAGTATGGTAAGAAAATTGAACAGAAAAAGAGTTAATGTTAATTTCGAAGCAAATAAAACATCAAAACAAATAAGATAATTACGTGTTGTCAGCAAAAGGTAACCCTTCTATAACATCACCCTTCACGAATGTGCTATTTTCAGGTTTAATCTGATTGGGATAATTTGCGACTATATCGCATCCCGTAAAATGTGACATTGGATATTTACTATATTTAAATGTAAGTCAAAAAGGAAGAAATGAATATAAATAATGAATAACCTGATCAAACAAACTATTTGATTCAAATAGTAAACTAACCTGGCAAGTTCAAGAACAAGAACTCCTGGACCACATCTAATTAAGATAAAAAATACATAAGTCAGAACAATAGAACAAATCAGGATATTTGAGAAAGTTAGAACAATTATGAAAAGAGTGTTTAGAGTAGTGCTTGTATTCAAATATACTATGTTCATATTCACAATTATATATTTATAAATGTTAATGTGAAGTTTGTCTGACTTGCCGAAAATCAGCCAATCAAATTTTCATATTTATAATTATTATAAATATTCAAATATATGTTGATTTATAAATATAAGCACTACATCGAGAAATTCATATGACAATTACCCTATATCCAACATTTTCGCACCACGTTCTAATAAACTAGCGACAGGTGAAGAAAAATTACTTTTCCAAACATTTTGAAAAAGATAATGTTGTAAGGTCATTCTGTCAACTTCATCGTCATCCAAAGGGAGTACATACGAAGCAGAATATTTTCTTTTTGTCATACAATTATGTATGAGCTGATCTTTTTTAATCTCAGGTTTTGACATAGCCTTCTCTTTCTTATTTCGAAAGTGTTTAGCGGGTTTAGAATAAATTTTCCCCATGATAATAAATTCTTGACGATTATTATTATTATTATATTCAATATGTTGAACGGATGTGACTTTCATACAAATTAAAAAAAGGGCATCCCAAATACTCGACCTACTTATAAGAATTTCAGGATTTCAGGATTTTCATAAAATGCAGATTATCACACACTTTTACCCTTTGACGTAACGATCACACATGAGTTCCTTGTTTATGTAAAATTGAAAGGAATAAGTTTAAATTAATTATTGCCTCGGATGAAACCAGATGATACCGACATTTGGGGTTTCAGCTTGAAAATATAAGCCCCACCTATACTCTTTTATTAATAACTCCAACCCTAAAAAAATTCAAAAATCGTACATGAAATAGATCCAAATTTCTGCATCACCTGATCTCGTGACGATTATTATTATCGTTTATAAACTATACTATATATATAGAATATATTGAAGTTGGCACATGCCTAGAGTTATAATTTCGATTGCACTGGCCAGAATTAAGCCCCTGAAATTAGATCTTCTTTAATTAGTAAATTTTGAGTAAGTGCTCGACGTATGTAAGTAGAACGGAATTAAGTGGATTTGGAATTTCCTAGTTAGGGTAAGGGTGTTCATATGACGAAATCAACCCCAGAATACTGGTTTTGTATAAAAATTCCGTATCCACTTAGGTTCTATTTCACATACATCAGTACATCTATATCGCTATTTTCCCGCAAATCTTGCAAATCATTTTTCCTGATTCCTGATATTAAGCAATAATAACCGACTATACCTATAACAAAATTATCAACTATATATTTTTACTTAGTAAACGTGCAATGATTCATTAGTAAAATTCGAGCAAAATTGTTTAATGCCAACCTGCTGATCATCTATTCCGACCCGGGAATTATGAGATCTTCTTTCTTTCGGAAATCATTTAAACTACAATATGACAAAGTTAAAGATTCACATGTATGTAAACAGTAAATAAAATTAACAATATTGCCCCACAATTGTAATTACTAAAATAAGGAAGATGATCTTTTAAAATAAATCTGGAGAGCATGAAAATTAACGTTAAATGATCTAAATATTTTTTATCCTTAACAAAGACAATGATTTATTAAAGAAAAAAAACCGGAGAAGAGCATGAATTTAATAGTAAAAGGTACGGATACTTTAATTTTTTAAAAAAACAATGATGTAATTTTGTTGTAAATTTGATCGTACGATTTGAAAAGTTAAAAGTGTATAGATTAACTTGCATTTCAGCTAAATAAGTGATAAGTCTCATGTAAATTTGTATTTTATCAACCGATGACCAGGGTTTGGGAATTCATGACATGTGTAAATAACAAAGAAAATCTTGACGCAATCACACTTGAACTATATATATAGCACGTGCTGATCATAATTATTAAGGTCGATCTTTACCAATCATATTCACTTTCATGGGCTAAGCGAAAATTATCAACCAACACTTTTAATACTGTACAAATATTTAAAGTTTAACCAGGTAAAAAAAAGTTTGATATTCATCTCTAGTTATCCGTTAGCATCTGGCTATAAATATATTTAGGAAATCATGTTAGATTAATAAAATAATAAACATAATTTTACATCTTTATGATTTTAATAAGGAAAACCAATCTCCCCAGGTTAAGGTGTGTCAATTATATATAATTTCATATGTCTAATGAAGTGCGTCCCTGGAGAGATCCTTATCAAAATCAGCCAATATGTATTTCTTGATTTCCATACATACGTATATGCTCATCAAAAGAGTAGATTACGTAGTGGGGCGTTTTATAACAACATCTTTCATCCCTTTTGTGATTCCTTTTAAATCAACAGCAAGTTCTTGTGAAGTAATACCGATGGCATTCTTTATAGTTTAAAATGTTATAATATATAGATATATATGTTTATATTAAAAATAGATGTTGATAAAATAAATAATTAATTATAAAATAAATTATATTGTATAGAATAGAAGGGCAGGCGAATTGCCGTAACCTGTCGTAACATAATAAAGTTACGCAACAATGCTGTAACTTATTACAATACAATTATTACATCTTACTGAGGTAGTTACGACAAGTTATGGAAAAAGTTATGGCATCATTAGGACGATTCGCCTGCATCACTAGTATAGAATAGTCTATCAATAAATCAAGAATGATGAACTTACTTGTACAGAACCGCTGATTTTAAATCCAAACCAAGCCAAAGTCATAAATGTTACACATACGAAAGCGACCAGAACGAGGATAGCGACCACAGGTAGGAAAACAATTAAACCCACGATTGTAAAGAGGCCTTGAGAGACCACAATACCAACGCCAGCTAGAGACAAAACAAATGCGACAGTTAAAAGAACCCATCCCGCAAAAATAGTGAGAGGGATCGCGTTAAGAGAGAGAATAATATAGATAAACCAACGAAAAGGCGGGAAATTGACCCTATTCAAAAGGTATAACTCGATTAAATCAAATGGTTAGAAAGTTTTAGAGTGCTTAAATAAAAATGCACGAACCAGAAAGACTTGATTGTGTGATAGATCGGTTCTGTTGCTACTTGAATGAAATGAAATGCTTGGGTGTAAAGTGATAGAACTTTACCATACACTCGACTTCTGATATGCCCTATGGCTTCAGATATACGCATAGATTTTTCCCTGATGGTTTCTGCCACCGGTTCTAATTTTTGTTCGGTCATTCGCTCGATTTCATCGGCCGAATGATGAAGAATTGGTCCTTTTAGTGACATTGTTTGAAGGGGAAAGGGTTGATATACTAGTGTGCTACGAATGAAAAAAAGCGAATCAGGTAGAAGGATACTTTTTATATGCACATTATTAAGACTAATTTATCACCAAACATGTTGATATGTTCTATACTGAATCAAATGAAATCTTTACGTATTTGTTTCGTCATAGTTGTGAAGTCTAATTACGTATGGTACTATTAAGTCATGTGATTTTTAAACTAAATATTATAGCGAACTTATAATGAAGTTCGATGAAGCTGGTCTATATATGATATAGTGAGTTTATTAAATAAAACACTCGAAATATTAACACTTCGGTATAATGTAAATTGTACTAGTTTTGCATGGGCTTGTTTTGAGCTTACTATAGCGATAGGTTTAAAAAAAATATAGATATAGAATAATATCAAATTTTAATTGGAACTTGTAAAACTATATCAAAAAGTTGCATTCATTATAGATACGTATTAATCATCGAATAACTCGGTAATTCTATTTATCAATCTTGAATCTTTAAAGTTACCAATTTAGAGTATGTGGAATCGTTAATAGATTTACAGTAACTTATTATACCGATACGTACGCCATTTGCTAATATGCATGCTGGTATGCCTATATCACACAATATATAATATATTTATAATAATTTTAATTGGATAGTTTCATGTTATATGCAAATTTAGCAGTAAATAATTTTTGAGTTACTGATCCCTTCTGAATAATTTAACAAACCCAAAATTATCAAAATATTCTAAAATATAAAATATCGTATTTAATTAAACCAATTGCATCAATACATATATATTTAGAATTATAATTAAAATATAATGTTTGGTAATAAAATTTTGGTAATAACTAGCTTTTGGTTTATTGGTTGCTTTTAAATAAGTTTACTATTAACATAACTAGTTTATAAAAATTTAAGCTCAAAATTGTTAAAATTTAATTTTAAAATATATATAGTTCTTTGATTTTAGTAATCTTAAATCTAATAAAATCATTTTTCAAAAAAATTAGTTTCTAATAAAATTATCTAAAATAAACCAATAAATGAAAATTATTTGTCATCAAAATTATATTTTAAACAATAATTCTAAATAAATACTATAATATATAGAGTTTCTATTTTGATTAAATTACTGATTTTTATACTGTATTATAAATAATAGTACGTATATATATCTAAGATGTAATTACAAATAATTTAGATCAAAAAATTTTTATACATCAAAGAAATGGTTTATTACTTTATTTCATGCAGAATGCTTTCTATTGCCAATCTTAATATGCATTTAATATATACAATATATAAAAGTATGATCAACATCAATTAATAATTTATTTATTACCATTAATATTAAAAAAAAAATAATAATTTATTTATTCATATGCAGATCATAGTAGACGGAAGAATAATACCACTAGACGTGTAAATAACCAATAACCGCATTATCCGCCAAATATTTGTTTGATGCTATTAGGCTGCGATAGTAGCCGAATAAATCTTTGTTGAATAGGGACGTTATTTTGCAAAAAATTTTTGATGGATAAAGTTTTTTAGTTATTAGCAAATCGTAGTCGATTAATGACTATATCGATATATGTATACGTATATATAGTATATCGATATGTTTAAATTATATATATGATATATATATGATATATATATGATATATATGATATCTATATACGTATAATTTTTAACATACCATGATGTCATACACATGAGCTCCGTGCCACTATATCAATTGGTCCTTTGCGTTTGTGTTTTTTATTGAACAAATTTTCACCTGAAAAATATATAAAGCAAAAATACGTAATATCGATATGACCTACATGCAACTCTATCGAATTTGAATACATTTAGGAAAGTTTATCTTTTGACCAAAGGTTATTGCGTGGGATTAATAAGTCATTGGATGTTTATATCGGAGCATCGGTATACTCCGATCGGATTCCTAAATTTGACAATCCTAATTATTGTTTTAGTGTTAGAATGAATAGCTTAAAAAAAGATGAACCATATAATCTGCCTTAGAGTTACCAACCTAAAAAATTTTGCTGGCCAATCATAGTTCAAGATCAGGTGTGACGCAGAAAAATAAAATCAATCCATTGCGACTATTAAAGCTCCTCCCAACCTAACTTAATAGCAAACCCTACACCTAATCTAACCGAAATTTTTTTAGCGAAAATTTTTAGGTCGGTAACACTAGGACAGTAATCCAAATATGAGAACTGGCCTAGGGAAATGTCGA